CACAAAAGAGGTCATTAAAAGCCTATTGATCAATTCTATCCCAGCTGCCAAAGCCATGCTCAAGGCATAGAGGAAAGTGCTTGGGGTTTCGATCAAGGGACCCAAGTTCAAATCTCACTCATGATCCCTACTAACTCTGGGACAATGGGAAACTGAGCAGCTTCTCCGAGCCTCCATTTCCTTAGCTATAAAAGAGAAGAGCGAGACCCAAGCGAGCAGCCTCCTAGGCCTGCTACCGAAATTTGAGCTATTATTATTCTCCGATCTCAGCCCAAAGTTTCCTTCTCCTGCCCCAAAGGGGAACAGAAAGGACCCTGCTTCTTCCTTTTGCTCACTCTCACTGCCACCCCCTCCACCCTACCCCACCCCCACCCTGGGGCAGGGCAGATGCAGAAACCTGAGCTGGGGGTGGGGGTTGGGGCAGAGGTGACAGGCTTTCCACTTTGACTCCCATTAGGTGTAAGAAAGACTTCTCACAGAGGGCTGCTTTGTACCAGAGAAAACCCGTTTCACCACCTGGGGTATTACTGTGTGTGTGTGTGTGTGTGTGTGTGTCTGTGTCTGTGTGTGCGAGTGTGTGTGAGTGTGTATATGAGTGTGTGAGTGAGTGTGTGTGTGTGTGTGTGTGTGTGTGTGGTGGGCCTTTTTATGTTTTGCTTTGGTTTGGTTTTAATGGGGAGGCTTGAGAAAGTGAATTACAGGGTGCTACCCTCACTGAGCAGGCCACCTAGTTCTCTTTGATGCCAGGGAAATCCAGGGTAATTCAGGGAGCTACAGCAAGGCCTTAGGCTCATGGGATCAGAGGTTTAGAGTGGAAAAGATCTCAGAGGCTGTCTAGAGATGGGGAAACTGAGGCCTGGGGGAGATGAAATGACTTGCTCTCTGTCACACAGGTAGTAAATCCAAACCCCTCATTTTGCAGATGGGGAAACTGAGGCCCAAAGAGACTAAACTGACTTCTCCAGATTCGTAGGATCGTACAGTTAGAACAGGAAGGGAATTCAGAGGACAACTGATCCAACCCACTCAGTTTGCAGATTGGGAAACTGAGAACCAAGGAGAGACATAATCAAGGTCAGATGAAGGCCTAAGCCCCCTGACTTCAAGCCCACTGTTTTATGGGGTTTTTTTTGTTTTTGTTTTTTCATTGTACAATGATGCTTTTTCTTCTCTTCCTTCCTGGAAAGTTGTACAAAGTAGCTCCAACAAAGGGAGAGCAGAATTATGGAAAGACGGCCCACCGTTTCTCCCTCTGCCTTCCCTTCCCCTGACCTCAGCCATTCTCCCAGCTCTGGGGCTCTCTCTGCCCTCTGGCAGCCGTGGGCCTAGGCCCTGGCAGAGGCAGGCCAGCAGAAACCAGGCCCAGAGTATCTTCCTGCCCTTTTCTTTACCAGGCTTTGCTTCAACTCAGATTCTTTCCGACCACCAAATTTCCTGACCCCATTCCCAGAGACTCCTTCTATTTTCCACTGCATGGAGGAAAAGAGATGGATGTATGAAAGAGGAATGGAAAGAGACTCTAGGGGATTTAGAGGCTGGACCAGAGCCCAGTCTAAGCTGCAGCCTGAGTGACCTGCAGTCAGCCAACACCTCATGCACCCTCCCCTCCTGGAAGGGACTCAGTTCCCATGCTCAGCCCTCTTCCTAGGGTGACTGGACCACTCCAGCAAAGACAAGTGGGAATAGTTGGGGAAGCAAGACACCAACAAGCTTCTTTTCTCCTGTATTCCAATCTGGACTGTTCCAGAAAGAAGCATGGGAACTGGCAGGAAGGGACTCATTCCCAAAGAGCATCAATCAGTCATCATGCCAAGAATTAAGGATACAA